TTGGAAGAAGGGGCAGGCAATTCAGGACTACAAAGATGTTGTGAGGTTATGCAGGGAGAGAATTAGAAGGGCCAAAGCCCAACTAAAACTTAATCTGGCTACTGCTGTAAAAGTTAATTAAAAATGTTTGTATAAATGTATTAGCAACAAAAGAAGGTCTAAGGAGAATCTTTGCCTTTATTAGGTGTGGGGGAAACAGTGACAGAGGATGAGGAAAAGGCTGAGGTACTTAATGACATCTTTGTCTCAGTCTTTCATAGTAAGAGCAGTTGTTCTTGGGGAACCTAGTCCCCTGAGCTGGAAGACAGGGGCAGGGAGCAGAATGAAGCCCCCATTATCCAAGGTTTAGTGACCTGCTGTACTTCTTAGATGCACACAAGTCTATGGGGCCAGATGGGATCCACCCAAATGTACCAAGGGAGCTGGAGGAAGTGCACACCCAGCCACTATCCGTCATTTACTGGCAGTCCTAGCTAACCAGGGAGGTCCCAGTTGACTGGAGGTTAGCCAATGTGATGCCCATCTACAAGAAGGGCTGGAAGGAGGATCTGGGGAACTACAGGCCTATCAGTCTGACCTCAATGCTGGGGAAGGTTATGGACCAGATCATCTTGAGTGCCATCATGTGGCATGTACAGGACAACCAGATGATTAGGCCCAGTAGGCACGGGTTCATGAAAGGCAGGTTCTGCTTGACTAATTTGGTCTCCTATTAGCACAAGATGACCCACTTTGTGGATGAGGGAAAGGCTGTGGATGTTGTCTACCTAGACTTTAGTAAAGCCTTTGACACCATTTCCCACAGTATTCCTGGAGAAACTGACTGGTCATGGCTTGGATGGGCGAACTCTTTGCTGGGTGAAAAACTGGCTGGATGGCTGGGCCCAAAGAGTTGTGGCGAATGGAGTCCAATCCTGTTGATGGCTGGTCATAAGTGGTGTTCCCCAGGGCTCAGTACGGGGCCAGTTCTGTTTACTATCTTTATCAATGATCTGGATGAAGGGATTGATTACACCCTCAGTAAGTTTGCAGATGAGACCAAGTTGGGTGGGAGTGTTGATCCATTTCAGGGTAGGAAGCCTCTGCAGAGGGATCTGGACAGACTGGATCGATGGGCTGAGGCCAATGCTAAGACTTTTAACAAGGCCAAGTGCTGGGTCCTGCACTTGGGTCACAACAACCCCATGCAGCGCTACAGGCTTGGGGAAGAGTGGCTGGAAAGCTGCCTGGCAGAAAAGGGTCTGGGGACTCTGTATTAGATTTCTATTGTATCTTAAAGAGAAAAAAAAAAATCATATAGTCAAAAATCATTCTTTCCTTTAGTTACGACTAAATGAACATTGAACTACTCCAGGTGGCCAAGAAGGCCAACAGCATCCTGGCCTGTATCAGAAGTAGTGTGGCCAGCAGGAGTAGGAAAGTGATCGTGCCCCTGTACTCGGCACTAGTGAGGCCACACCTCGAGTACTGTGTGAAATTTTGGGCCCCTCTCTACAAAAAAGACATTGAGGTGCTGGAGCGTGTCCAGAGAAGGGCAACAAAGCTGATGAAGGGTCTGGAGAACAGGTCTTATGAGGAGCGGCTGAGGCAACTGGGGGAGTTTAGTCTGGAGAAAAGGAGGCTGAGGGGAGACCTTATCGCTCTCTACAACTACCTGAAAGGAGGTTGTAGTGAGGTGGGTGTCAGTCACTATTCCCAAGTAACAAGTGATAAGACAAGAGGAAATGACCTCAAGTTGTGCCAGGGGAGGTTTAGTTTGGACATTAGGAAAAAATTCTTCACCAAAAGGGTTGTCAAGCACTGGAACAGGCTGCCCAGGGAAGTGGTTGAGTCAGCATCCCTGGAGGTATTTAAAAGATGTGTAGATGTGGTGCTTAGGGCCATGATTTAGTGGTGGACTTGGCTGTGCTAGGTTAACAGTTGGACTCGATGATCTTAAAAGTCTTTTCCAACCCAAAAGATTCTATGATTCTATGAGTTTTACAGGAGCAAGAACCTGAATCTTAACTCTCTTGCCTGCCACATACTGAACATACTGAACTATAATGAAAGTTGTGCCTTTTTTTGTTCAGTGATTATTTCGACTACGTGGAACAGCTAAAGAGGGTAGGAGATTAACTAGTCCTGTTCCACGCTTACCTTGCAATACTAAACTGGAGGGAAATTCCTTTTTATCAGCTTGGATCTCTATGAGGCTCAAAAGTGAGGTTAGGTGGGGAATGAAGAAGATGGGTAACCGGCTGAGCAGCCAAGCCATGGAGCCATATGACAGGAATTTGAGGTGTGTTCAAGTTTCTCTTACATTGCCTAATAAAGTGGTAGTGCTGACTTGGGAACCCACTTCCCTTAGAGGAATTCTTTGCATCCATTAGTCCTGAAGTTAATACGTAACAAACTCGGAGAAGTGAAATCAAGACTGTCTTCCGTTAGTCCCATTCTTAGGTACATGAACTTCCCTTTGGATTATGTAGTGAATGTCGTACGCCTAAAATAATGCCAGGAGCTCCACTGGATATCTAAGCTGGGTATAGCTTGTTTTGTAGATTTATCTCTGGGATGACTCTTTTTTGCTTTTCTTTGCTAACAGACTGTATTGAACTTCTGGATGGGAAGACGCATGTCTTTGTTTCCCCAATGAACAGCTGAAATGTTTTTAAGCTAACTAGTGAACTGTTGTAATTCAATTGCCTTTCATCAAAGCAGTTATTTTTGCATTTGCTGATTGACTTCTGCTCTCCACTGTAAAATGTATTAATGATAGTGTTTGCTGCTGTTGGCTACTTGTGACCTGTTTTCTCATATTTTCTTTTTCAGGAGAAAGCTGTGTGTCTTAAGGAGTTCATTTGTAACTCTGCCAGTATTTTGACTACTGTTAACAGTCTGCTGCAGCATCAGTCATAATCTTCCATTAATCTTCCACTAGGTCTACAAGTGTTGTTCAATAGTCAATGTAACAACCAAAAACCCAAAGGAACAGCTGGTGTATTCCAGCAAGGCTACTCATAGGCTTGTTTGGGTAAGTACCAAGTCAGCCCTGTCAGTTCAGAAACTCCAGATGGGGCATGTTTAAATGCATGTAGAATGTGCAATTAAGCAGCCTTATAGTCATGCAGTTTTTTCAGTGTAAATTTTGATCCACGGGAGAACTTGGAGGATACCCATCTGTCTCTGGGATTTGAGCCCAGAATGTTACCTATGAAATCTATATCTACACCAGTTTAGAATTGCTCCTCATGCTTTTTTTTTATGTCCCAGTTCAATATTTTTCTGTATTTTATGCCCATGCATTCTCACATTGAATTGACGATTGCCACGTATATAAATGTTTCAATGTTTAAGACTTGCTGGGTCAGAATTCAGAATGTTTTTTTCTTTACTAGGGGACTTAGACAGAAAACAAAACACAAGCTTGGAAAGTAGAGAACATGTCTACACTAATGTAGATATACTCTCTGATGTGGTCTATACAGCATGGAGTAAATTGATCTTAGAGATACTGCAAAGTTGAATATAAATATTCCCTTAATTTCTTAGATTGAGTCTGGTGTGTTTTCCAGAGCGCAGGGTTTTCTATGATCATTCATGTAGCCTCATGTAGCTCTATAATTTTCTATAAGTTCTACAAGGTTCTGTAATCAGAGAGCGCTATCTTTCTCTGCTGTGACTAAACAGTAAGTACAACTATTTTCAGAATTTTTTCGACTTTATTGTATTTGTATCTTCTGGTTGCATTATTATTAATGTCATTTTATCACTAACCAGGCTAGATGTAAATCAATTCAAGTGTTGCCAAGAGATATCTAAACCTACCAAAACCTTGTTTGGCTTCCAGTTTTAGTACCTAGCCCTCCGTGTTAGTGGAAGCACCAGTCAGGTATGCAGTGTGAAAACATATTCTACCTCACACACCAAGCTAGCAAGACTCCAGAAGCTGGTGGTCTTTTTAAATCTTCAGAGATTCTCATCCTCTTATTTACAGATCTCCTAATACCTGCTCAACAGACAGAGACTATAGCTGAGACTGTAGCCAAGTCTGTCACACTGCTATAGAAAGAAGAACCTGCTGGTGGGGACTTTTTGTCTAACAACGTAAAGGTTGTCTTGTTTAATCAAGAATTAGTGGTTCAAATCTATCTCTATCCCAGGAGAGATTGCAGAAGTCTTGGGAGGTAAGCACTTCTTGTTTCCAGTGAAGTCTCACAGGTAGCATACTGTGTGAAAAAATGGACTGATCCCCACTCCTCAATTTTAAAATGAAAGAGTGACCTGTATTCAGAAGAGTAAAAAGTTTGTCTCTGGATTTTGGACTCTGTTTCCCTGTGTGAAAACTTTAGTGTTTTACTGCACGTGGTTATATTTCCATTTTTATGTTAGAGTGAGCAAGCAAGTTGCATAACATTTTGTTCAAATAGTGTTAGTAGGGAAAAATGAAGAATGTGCATGGAGGGAAATTACCTTCATCATGGGTTTGTTTTTCTTTTCTTTTTTTTTCTTTTTTTTTTGATATAACATACTGCCCTGCTCCAAAATTTATTTATTGCTTTTCACTAGGAAAGCAATGACAACCCCAGAACTGTTGCAGTTGAAATGTTTGGTTAATCCACAAGATGCCTGCCTTCGCACATCTGCCACCACGGTGTATTTTCCAATTGCCTCTTGCAGATAACTGTGTAATACATCTGCATATTTTAAAAATACCTGTCCTCTTCAAAGTCAAAAGGGATGAATCAATATGACTTGTCTGCTTCAAAAGTACTACATAGGAAATAAAATTTTCTGTCATAATAGTGTTGTCAATTAACATCTTGGAGATATTTTTGAGTTCTTTGACCAAGTCTTATAAAAACCTGTAGTCAATTGGGCATGAGACTTTTGTCTGAACTCTACAGTGTGACATACAAATGAGGTGACGCACTCATAGCGACTAAATGGACTGACTGACTCTCCAGCATTCCTTGAATCATTGTTAATATCCTTCAACCCCCACAAAAGCTCATTACCTCGTTATTAAGCCTGCTGATCTGTTGTTTGGTCTCTTCTGCTTTGATAACAAGCACAGCAGCACCAATTTCAGACTCTGAAAATAATTCAAATGCATGTAAATGACAGAAGTATAATAACTTGGAAACAGCAAATATCCAATGCTTTAAATTTAAATCTAGTTTGCACTTGGATCGACTGAAAATAGAATCTTGTGTTTAATGTTCAGTGTATAATGTGTAAGAAAAGTGTGGCAAATAAAGTTTGTACTGCTCTTTTCAGTCTGAACCTGAAAGGACTGAACATGACAACCCTGGTGCCAACCCTGTGACATGTCAACTGTTTTTAAAAATCATAGATACAAGTAAGTTTCTATTACTATTCTTCTGTTTGGCTTTAAGAGGAACAAAATGTGTCCTAATAGCCTCTATGCAAAAGATACGTAACTGTGTGAGGACTGTTTACTCGTAAAAGAGGGCATGTTGGAAACAGTCTGAGCTGCACTAGTTGTGTCACTTCAGCATTAGTCCATTGTTCTCCCTCCTCTATCTCTTTCTTTCTCTTTTTTTTTTTTTTTTTTTTTCCCCATGTTGCTCTGCTCTGTTCCTCTGTGGTGATATTTTATCAACCTGCAGGTAATTTAAGGCTTCCTAAAACCTCTTGCTATTCAGGGTTTTCACTCTTTACTCCTAAAAATCTAGGTAGTTCCATACTCCTCCACTTCTGTAAGTATCTTTAACAAAAATTGAAAGCCAAGTTTCATCTGGCTCTTTATGAATTGTTGTGGGTTTTTTGTGAGGTTGTTTTTTATTATTATTAATTAAGTATTAGAATGTTTTTATCTTGAATTTTGTTGAATTTTGTCCTTATATTTAGCACCTTCCATGCCCAAAGGTTTGGGAGCATGAGGCTCCCAGCTGATCCTACAATACTGCTGGTAAAATATAATGCATGAAAATACAGTACTCTCTGCAAGCTGTTTCATCATGACTGTCTGTTAGGAAAATAACAAATGGCCCTTGGGACCTTGTGTATTTTTCTATAGTACCACTTCTGGTACTGAAATGGTACTGAAAGTACGGATATATGATAAAGACATTTATGTCACTTCTGAGACTGGAAAAAACAAACCGGAACAAAAAGCAGTTATGAAAACTGTTTTCTCTAAAGCACGATTTTCCAAGGAAAAACTGACCTCCAATTGTAGGAGATAACCTGGATTCCTGCCTGAGCTGATCAGAGCTGAAGTCAAAGGTTTGGCGTTCCTCATTATGGTTTCCATCTTCAATCCCATCAACAATTCTGTTGAGAAAAATTGGAGTGATGGAGCAGTTTCATAAACAGTTTCATAAACATCACATTTGTAACTGTTGTCAAAGGTACTCCTAAAGGGCACATTTTTAAGCAGTGGTAAATTTTGCACAACATTTAAGCTTAAATTCTATTGGCATAACTTCTTGTGAATCAGTAAAGATTAAAGTTACTGTTAGAGGAAGGAATGTGAGGCCAAACATAATTAACTGAAGTTTCAAATTTTTCTTGACTTCTGCAGTATATTCTGGGTCCTAACAAAACCTGTATTGAATATCATTTGCTTTTCATAGCTAAAGTGGTCTGTTGCCATTCTGTTTTCTACACAAACTAAAGATGCTTCACTATGCTCTCGAGAAGTTTAAATCTCCCTGCATGTAACAGTAAGGCTCTTATACTAGGCTTACTTAGGCAGAGCCTAAGCCTGAACATAGCATATTTATGAAAGCATCTCTGTAAACACAGCTATTATCAAATTTGGTTAAAACTAACTAGCTTAGGCATTGGGTTTGTGAATTGGGTATAGGAAGATGTGTAGACCAGCCTGCAATGTCCCAGTTACATTAGTATGGGTATTTGATCTAACTACTAGAAAAGGCACTTTTGTCAGTTATTTCTACTCATGCATTGCAGTTGACCTCCAATTTGTAGTGTCAAGAAATCCAAAAGAAAAAAACCCAACAAACATTTTATACAATAATCAAGTGCTGCACACAAAGAATAGAAAACTGGTATCAGACGGAGGAATCGATACACATTATTAAAAAGATATAATTATGAATATTTTTTGTTCTCATTTATAATAAATTATACTATAAAGAGAACTGTTTTAAAGTCAATGAAAGTGACTCCAAAACCTGTCAATTGACAGATGAGGAGCATCAAATTCTTGTTTTGTCCAGGCACGAGATTCAGAATTTGTCTTACAGTAGGCAGGTGAGTTAAATATTAATCTGGAAGAACTAAAGCAGACAGTTCTTGGCCTCTCAGTCAATGGTGATAAATTTGTGATGATGGAAATTAAATTTTCCATCTAATAAGGACATTCCCAACAAAACCTCTTGACTGGAAATGTTTGGAGAAAGGAAGAACAGACAACATAGAGATATTTGTCTTGAAAGACTCATGTAACTTAGATCTATGAACATATCATGTATTCTTATCCTCCTTGGCTCTTCATATGGGTTTAGGGCTCTGTGTCATGTCTGAGCGCACATCATGCTGGTTGGATGTTACTAGACTTCACTTTAATTTTAATCAGCCTCTGGGAGGAGATGAGACTCAAATGTGGTGCTCGAGCTGCTCTGGCCTGTGCTGTTATTTGCAGCTGAAAACTTGAATGATTGTTTGAAATTTGCTGTAAAACCTATTTAATGTCATCTGGCCTCACTGCTTCAAAAAGCAAATTTTAAACACCAATATCCCTTTTGTAGAGATTTCTAATTATATAAAATGATAACATTTTAACTGCCTTTAAAACACACAGGGGAAAATCTACTCAGACGTGACTTGGAATTTATAGTCGCTATATTCTTTAAAGTGTTTAAAGATTCAGACTAAAGAGAAAACATAGTAGCAAAATTAGCTAGTTCTGGAGAGTCAAAAGACAGGCTTCTATGTGGGAAATATGTAATGGGCAAGATGCCCATAATTCATATACAAGGAACTGGCTGTGGAGCGTCATAATCTAGTGAGTTGAAAATGTGAGGGGACAACAGTAATTGGTAAGTCTCACCCCTTTCTGAATTAGCTATTGTACAGCCCTGAATTTTCTCCTGAAGATAGATACCTCCGCTCCTAGAAGCTAAAAAGTCAGAGAAGATTAACATGTGACCTCTTCTATCCAGTTGATCAGGGCTAGAGTGCACTCGTCCATGTGGGTCTGAGGAGATTCAAATGCATAAATATCTCCTCCCAGGACTGCCTTTATTATCACTTACACTTTCTCAATTTTAATGCTCTTCTACTTCATAGGCAGTACCCAAAAAGTGATTGGGAAGACTATGATTGTATCCTAGAAGTTAGGATACTGGTTTCTGTTCCTTGAGCCAAGAATTATTTAAATACAGTGTGGTGTATGAGGAAAGAACCTGAAGCACCAGTGTTCTGGTTGGCTAACTCTAGGGAACATCCACAGTAGAACAAGTTTCTTAAGCAGATAAAGTATATTCTCTTGACAAAGTGTGGTTATACACCTCACAACTACACTGACTGGACGTTTCAACCAGTCCTGCCTTCCCCTTACACTCCTGTCCAGCAGCAAACAAAAGCAAGGATCTTAATGAAGGTCTTATTTTCTCTTTAACATTTACTAAGAAACATTTGAGACTCTTTTTAAAGAGGTTTTAACTTCTCAGTTTAAATATTCTAATAATAAAAACTCATTCTGGGAAATAATATGAAAGTTTTATGTCTGGAAATCAAAGTCTGAAAAACACATATGTCTTGAGCCAATTTTCCAGCCTATTAACAGGATTATTCTGCAGTTATAAAATTATGAATGAAAATAGGAAATAACAATATATGTAACAATATTAGTTTCACATTTGCTTTTGCAGCCTTGGGTGCCAATGTCTGGCTGCATATGTTCAGAAAAATAATGGGCAAGATTACATTTCAGCAGAAAAATTGAAAGGTAGCTTTTCCCTGAATTACCACTTGTTATGCAAATGATCATGACCTTTACTCCTAGCTGACCTGAACCAAATTCATATGAGATTTCTGAAAGAAATCAGAAAATATCCACTATGCATTTCAATTTTACTAGTGTAGAAGCTGTTTTTCCACACATTATCTTCCCCTATATTGACAAAACAAAAGTCGGTTTGTATCCTGCTCCTACCTAACTGTACTGATCAAATACATGATGAGGGGGAAAGGTTTTTATATATTCTTCCATGTCCTTTTCATGATTGCATCCTTAGTGTCTTGACAGACCTAAACAAATATTGATCAAGCTGTGGTTATTTCATGTTTGCAATGGTAAGTTGCTGAAACTACCACCTTGCCTCTAGTGAATAAAGGAAATTCTTGAACATGTAAAATACTTCAAATGATAGAAATCGAAACTTGAACTGGAAGATCAACTGCTGCGGCCCCTTGTATGTGAAAAAGTGACTGTTATTTTTATAAAGAACTGATCCCAAAACTCTTGGTTAATAGTTAATTATTGTGTTGCAGCAATTTAGAAATAAGATACATAAATCATCTTACAAGTAACGTACAAGTAAAAAATTTAAATATTTAAAATTATACACTAATGATACCACAATAAACTATTACATGGCTTTTGTTATTTTGACTCAAGTCACAGCAAAACAGATTTTCTCAACTCCACATTTACTCTCTACATAACTTGCATTACCAAGTTTACTTTCTCTAATGAAAAAACCCCTCTAAATATTTTCTAAAATTGCTAGGTGGTAGTTTTCCATTATAGTCCTGTACTCAAGTAATTTTTGTATTTGCACTGTTATGCTGTGTTATCATCTACTTGCTTTCTAAATTGCTGTCTCTCTGATGGACTCAGAATATTTCACAGTGCTATTGTGGGAATGCATATTATTATAAATGGCCAAAATGATAGCATAAAGCCAGACTATTCAAATAGTCATTTTTGTAATTGCTCAATACTTTCCTTTTTTACTGGTAGAAATATTTATTTCACAATAAAGTCCTAAAGTCATAACATTCTGCATAGTATGTAACAGTTCCTACAATAAAAGGACTTTTCCTTCTCTGTGGGATGAACAAAAGTATCAACTATTTAAAAAAAAAGAAATATTTTATAGTGTTACAATCATGATATTTTTAATAAGAGTTATATGATAGAGAAGAAAATAAGAGTTCATAACAATTACCTTGGGCTCAGGTCAGGTGGACCACTGGTGGTCAGTGCTGAAAGGTGTAACTTAAGGTTTTTCTCCTTCCTTCTGGAGTAGTAATGGAGCTCCGTTTCATGTTTCGTTCTTGAGGGGTTTGAACTGCAAGCACGGATGGGTGAATGAAAGGGCACTGTTCCTGAGGCCAACTGCTTCAAGTTTCTCCCTAGGTGACTTTTATTGCTTCCAGCCTTCTTCTGCTGAGAGCAATTTGTGCTTCTTGTATGGATTGGTGAAAGGGTGCTGCTCTCTTCTTCTCCCTCCTCATTCTCATCTTCATCTTCCACAATTGATGGGAGTCTCTTTATATTTCCGTTTCCCTTGAGCTCTGTCTAAAATAGCAGAGAGTACATACTAGCATAAAATTCAGAGCCTGATGTTGCAGAAACACAGTTTCTTCTAGTGTTCATCCTGGAACAAACCCAGATCTAGCTCAGCTTTCATTTCTCATTAGAGATAGCTCTTTTGGAACCCTCCCACAGCTTCTCTCCTCAGCTATGGCTGTATGTGCGTGAGTGAAAAACTACAAACAAGTTAACAAAGGTCACTAGCAACATAGCCAGTGAACTCATTGCAATATGTTTTGTTTCCAGGAGAGATTACATGAGTAGTTCTTACAAGCCATGTGCCATATGTACACTTGAGTAGATTAATCTTGCTTTACTGAGGCATCATGTGTTTTGAACATTACACTCTCAGACTCCTGGTGGATCAAGGGAAAGAACTGAGTCTGGTAGTTCATATACTCCACATTTTCTACATATGGAATGATTTGTAATTGATAAATAGCATTTACATCAGTTCAGCTCAAGCCCAAATGTCCTCTGTATCCTTCTTAGTTGTTGTAACTGAAGCCACTGCTGTGTTAGTAGGCAGATTTTTCAGTTTATGCAAAGTCCTGTTAATGCACCAGTGGTGTGACAGTGCCAGCTTCAGAACTGAGTCACTGAAAAGCAGAGCTACATCTGTTTGTTTTTTTTTTTAAAAATGCAATTTGAATATTTGCTGTTGGAACCAAGGCAATTTAGAGGCAACATGTGCCTGGGTTCTGTACTTTTATTTACTAATTAAAGCATGGTGTAAGACAGCAATGTATTGTTATTGTTTCATGGTAACAAAATACACTGGTCATGAGTGCTGAGATATGCCAACATGGAGCTCATGTCAGAATCAGGCCATAACTCAGAAATCGTTCCATTTACTCTCATTATACAACTTACTGTATTTATTGGTAGTAGGTGAATGGATTAAGGGAGAGTTAGGTTCCAGGTCAAATTAACAAACTCCACACACCTCAGTGAAGAGTACAGCCAAAAGCAACTTCATGGTTTCGTTTGTTTTTCAAGCTACTCCTCTGAATCAGGCTTGATTAAAGCACTGTTAACTTTAGATAGAAAACCTCAGGTGAACTTATATAGTCATATTTCCCACATTCAGGCCAAGTAAGATTGGCTGTGTGGAAATGCAGGTTTGGGGAATTCGTCCAAATGTTCTAAGCCCCTATTAGTGTCTGTCTAAATGTTTTGCAGGATGGGTTTAATTTTGCTGTGTGCTACAGCACACTTCTATTGAGGGAATGCTTTTCTCTTAGTACACGTTGGCAGTTTTAGTGAACTAGGTCCTTTCCATCTGAGATATATGAAAAGGTAAGAATTTAAAATAGTGGCAAAAGACCTGTTTATATAAGATATAATAGCCTTGTTAACCATAATAGCCATCTGAAGGCTCTCATGATGATCAAATTGTATAGGACCTGGCACTGATGCAGCCTATACTCTACAGAGAATGAGTGTTATCCATATTCAAAGCTTTGGCTCCGGTAACCATGTATTTAAAATGCAGGTGCTATGGTAGGATATCCAAATCTAGCACCTGGAAGAAAAGATCATAAGCCGTTCCTCGTAAAATGGACAGTGACATAACTATCTGCAAGATGCTATTTAAAGTCTTATTCTGAAACCACAGAAGTCAAATGGAGTTTTTCAAGCTTTGCTCTGGCCATTACTGTGTGGGTGTTTCAAAGTCAAGCTTGGCATATTTAAAATGTGACTAACATACCTGAGATAGCGTAGTCTTGTTTGATAATTTTGATATTACCTGAAAAAACAAAACAAAACAAAAATGTAACGGCTATGTGCATCTGCACAGCATTGGCTTCCAAGAGCATACAAACATCTAAACCAAAACATTTATGTTGATACAAGAAAAAAATCTTATGATAAACCAGATGTATTAAATTAAATGATGATAAAACAGCTGTATTAAATGAAATGGTGACATAGCACTGAACTAAGAACTAAGGATGCTCTGAGAAAAAAATGTTTTATTTTTATTAAAAAGATAGTTGCTGCAAAAATAACATTTTATTTTAATAAAAAGTTGGGTCAGGGCTTCAAACCCGTGAATGAATGCAGATGAGTGAATGTATGCCTGGTGGGTTTCAATGCTGGTTTGATGGAATCCCACGCAGGAACAATGCTCTGCTTTGGCCCCACCTCTTTGTAGCTTTAGCTCCTGTGCCAGCCTAGTCCTTACGTGTAGATGATCTAACAAACCGTAGCGTCTTTGGGGAATTTTCAAAGGCAATTATGGACCTGAAGCAAGTAGTACCAATATAACCCTGAGGACGATACATGCCTAACAGCTATTCAAGGTCATGACATTTTACCTTCTTGGATTAAACAGAAAGCAAAACAGAAGAAAAGGGAGAAGAAAAAAAATCACACAAGTTTAATGTGTAACTTCTAATAAAATCCACTGGAACTGCTGAATAATAGCCATTGTGAACAATCTGTTATTTATTTGGATGCCCACATCTTAACCACGGGCTAGTCTCTGACAGCCTACATGCTGTATTTATAGGCAAATTTTGGTCTGCCAAATAGAATTTTCAGAAGTGGTCTTCTCTAAACCTACAGGTCAAGCTAAAAAGTGCTTAACACCCATCAGTTTTAAATTTGTAGCATCAGCTTATTTTTCTCCAAACTCAGGTAAAAGAAGTTAAGCCTTTCTGGAAGTCTTTGGGACTTCCCAGTTTGTTTGATAAAAGTCTTCAGAAGCCCTAAATACACAAATTTTAGGCATAGATTTGGAAAAAATAATTGTGGTGGTGGTTTTCTTTTTTTTTTTTTCCCTTTTTCACAAGTCTTTCAGGTTAACCTGAAAACTGTTTTCTAGTTGCTCATAAAAGTGAAGGTACTAGTAGTGGTGTAATATACAAATGCACAATATTTAAGTTTGTGTAAGCAGAAATCTTACTCCACAACAGCCAAGCTAGTAGCAGGTGTATCAATAAATTTAGCAATAACACTCTAATAACTGCCAAACAGAACAACTGCAATAATTAGGCTATGTAAATAAAATAACTGCTGTGTTCTTCCTGAGTTAGATAAAGTACTACATGATATTAGCAAAAGACAAGATCTCAGATACTGAAATCTCCCAGCTTGCACTGTAATCTGTGCCAATTGAAGAAACATCATCTCCTTCAAGGTTTATGAGAACAGGAAACTGGAAATGTACTAAAACATAAAAGTCAGAATTAGGAAGTACTAGTGGCCCACTTTGCATATATATTTAAGAAGATTATAATCACAATACTGCCCAGAATTTTGGGGCATCAGTTTGCTTGGCTTCTAGGCACAGGTGCAGTATGAATGTTAAATAGCAATCTTAATTAAAACTCCAAGCCAATCCCAAACATTAGCAGCTTCACAAAAAAGATCGTAGGAAGTATGAATTTGCCTGCTGAAGGCTTTAGAAGAGACTTGTCATTTGTAGTTTGTAATGCAAGTGAAGATTTCCCCTTGCTTTTATTTTTATTTTTTTTTTCCAGGTCACATGTGTTAATCCTGATTGTACATCTTGAAAGCAGAGACAAAGGAATTATTATATGGGTGTCTCCTAAATGTCCTGGTGGCATTTCCCACAGGGCTGCTAGGACCTTTTGGCTAGGCTTTCAGCTCTGTGACCTGTTGGTAGCACTGTCCCCTGGCTGCAGGATCTCAGCCACCCATCAGTCCTCCTCTGCTCTCAGTGTTGCCATTGCTGGTTGCTGCAGTTGGGAGAAACTGGCTGCAGAGGAAATGGGGTTAGTGGCAGCACTTCATTGCCTTATGACCTTACCAAGAGAAAGGTAAAGAGATTTTTGAAGGCAGGTTGCTTTTTGCAGGGAGGGGAAGGAGTTTTGCTTGGGAGGAAAGGTAGCAGAAGAGGCAGATAGGTATGAACAGAGAGCATGTGATGTGAGAAACTACTTGGACTTTTTTCTTCCATTTCCCCAAACTAGGCCCTTTAACATGCTGGGGACAATTTCAGTCTGGATAAATTGCTAATTTTAGATAAACTCTGAACCTATAAACTATCTTTCCATAGCACAGAACAGACAGTAAACAGTGTTGCAATTGCTGCTGTGTTAATACACTGCAGCCGTATTTATTGCTTGTAACTTTGAACACTGTATCTTGCACAGATAAAGCAGGGGCCTGGACTTTATGGCTTGATAGTTGAAAACTGGTAAAAGAAACTGTAATTAATCTGTGGCCAGAGAGAATTCTCAAGAGTTTTGCTTTTAAACATCCTCCAGCATCTCCCCCCTCTCGCTCTCACTGCAAAAATACTGTTCTCAAAGAGAAAAGCAAAGGTGAACAAGAACATGGACAATCAAAGGGCAATAAATTTAAAGACCTCACCATACATAGCTTTATCTCTGTAAAAATGTAGTATCAGCATAAATAATGATGAGGTGCTGTCCTAGTTTCTGATCTGCTAAAGCCTTTTATTTAGGGCAACACACCAGTGTAGCCTTCTATAAAACAGGTTTTTTCTTATGCAAAAAGAAAGAGCATGCAAAATAGCTCACAAGCTAGTCTTCTAAAATGAAGTACAAGTCTTAAAGGGTAAGGGCTGCTGGAAGGAAAACACAATTTCCTCTACTGTGTGTGAGGAAAAAACAAAAAAAAAGACTGGTGTTAACATGAGTTATGTGAAATACTGTCAAAAAGTCTAATTCAGTTTTTAATTTCAGCCCTGATGTCTCTTTATGTCTCGTGAAACCAGCTATTAGATTTAATCTCACAAGACTAAACACTAATAGATCATGTACCAAAACCAGACTCATATCGAATTATTCTATGTATGTAATCCCAAATCTAAACTCTTGTAATTCTTTAATAGGTTAATAAATACAGCAAAAAAATTCAGAAATATTTATCATTACTTATTACAAGCACAAAAACAACGTTCCCCCATCTGAAAACACTGCTGTAAGCCAGTGATCTGAAGATTTTTCAAAGGTCAAGAGTAGCTTTTAATGGGAGAATCTCAACCAGGAATTGAGACCAAACCAGGTAATTAGCTGTACAACAATTCAAGATGAATTACAAGGATAAAACCCTAAAAAGAGAAATATAGAGATGCAGCTAAATTTGGGGTTTATACATTAAATGTCCAGGCAAGTAAATTTGCATTTTTGGGCTCAAAAGAATGCTATTAGCTTTTACTGGCCTGCTTCCTGCTGCCTTCACAAGAAGCAGGAATGAAAATAGAAACATGATTTTGCTGATTTGCTTTTAAGTCCTGGGTCCTAAAATACACAAATAATTCTTTGTATCTGAGGAGTCAAAAGGATAAAATACACTTTCAGGAAAGGATTTGAAATCAAACTAGAATATTAATGTTCTTAGTCAGCATTTGGAAACAGGAAAAACCCATTTAGGAGCATTGGCAGCATGGGAAAAAAAAAACCCCAAGAACGCGTGCCATATGTTCTATTCTTTGCAAATTTACTGTATGGTAACAGAAAAGATACAAGTACATAACAAGGGATTATTGTACTGATGAAAAGCTTATTGCCTCACGTGTTCAGGACTCACTTTCCACAATCAGGAAATTTTTCAATGAAATATCACAAATCCTTTAAACCACAAAGGAGTCAATCACTCACAAAGTGTTTCTCAGGTTAGATATAATAGTTTTATATCTGCATTTACTGAGCAATTTACACCTTCTTATTTATATATTTTTTTCTTTTTATGACTTTCTATAGTTCATTGGCTTTTTCCTATATTTTGTCAGGTTTATTCTTTCTCTTTTCCTTGCTTAATGGACAGATAAGGAAAATGTATTTTGTGGAAGCAGATGCTTTCAGCTTTCTCTGATCCTACTTACAGTATAGGGTATATTGAATTAGCAGCAAGAGTTGAACAACAGATCTGCCACCAGTATTTTATCTTGGGTGACCAATAACTGAATTGCCATGAGCTCTGCGATCTTCTGTTAATATTATCCTAAATGAATCCTATCTTTTGAATGAATTATTGTGGCTTGTAAAGTTAGGACAAGTGTTCAATAACTGGCTGGTTAGCTTTGGATAAGTTTTTTGCAAATGAATACTTCTTTGGGTTCAAATTTCTCACATGAGCTTTTATATTTAGTATCTGAAGTTTACTTCTCATATATTTCTTTAAAACTTGAAAGTTAATTTCACTGCATTTATTAACAAAAACTTCTAATCATATTTTGATTGTTTAGTTAAAAATATAAGATTTATTTCATTTTGTGTTAAAAAGATGTCATGGAAACAAAAACTAATGTCTCTGACACTTGCTCCAAATCAAGAATTGAATAAATGGTACATGTGGATGGTATAATTTGTCATTTTGACTTTTATATTCTTACCTCTCTCTCCCACACCTCAAAACAGGAGAAGAAAACAAGGTCCCAGACTGCTCTGAACATACATCTTTCATAACAAATGTGCCAATAAGAATTAAAAAAAAACAACTAAAGAAGAGGCTGTCAATAAGGTCAAAAGAAGACAAAAGGAGGAATTGTTAAAATAGACAATAGATGTGGCACTGACTACGTTGCTCAGCAAGTTGCATTTTTGGAAAAGCTCACAGATTACTGCAGGCAAATTTAAAATATTCTTACAACTTGATTACAGTCATGTAAAGATTTACATAATATTGATAAAAATTACAATGAATGCTACAGATTTCAAAGCAATAAAGCTTGTATGCTTAACTTCATGCAACTCTAAGATTTCATGCAATCTCTTGAATATTTGCAGGACTGGCCCTGTGGAATGATATCCA